CGTTTCATAATTAGGGGAAATACAGTAATACAATACAGTAAGATAATTAATACAGTAAATACAGTTAACACAGTAAATACAGTAATACAGTAAATACAGTAAGTACAGTAAATACAGTAAATACAGTAAATACAGTAAGTACTGTAAATACAGTTAATACAGTAAATACAGTTAACACAGTAAATACAGTTAATACAGTAAATACAGTTAATACAGTAAATACAGTAAATACAGTTAACACAGTAAATANTTCATACCAATCGCATAGTTTCTTCTTAACATCGTTGTAAGAGTCGTCCACTTCTCTCATTGACTTGAATGCTTCCAATATCTCGCCCTTCAAATTCAACTCGAGCTGACCGATCCACATGTCTCTGTCGCCTCTGAAGTTGTTCTCACAGAAAGTTTCGAAGCGACGCAGATATGCCATCAAATGTTGCCCTGAATCCGCGTCAAACTTCTCTATTGGTGGCACCTTGCGACTATCTAATCTTGCTAATACATTTAACCAATCACCAACCATACCTTGGGATTTCACATGCTCGGCATTCTTCCTCTTGATGTTCCTTTTCTTCCTCAACCCGATCTCTACTTCCGACGAACTGCTGTTCTCTCCGCTGCCCTCTATATCACACACTGAGTCACTCACTTCATCACTGGCGAAACTCTTCTCGTACTCACACTCTTCTTCACTGGCACTGTTCTTCTCACATGGTTTGGTAAATCTACCAGCACGTCTTTTAGGCACCGCTCCGCCTCGTTCCCAATCTGTCTCTTATACACATCTAGATGTGTATAAGAGACAGCAGTAAATACAGTAAATACAGTAAATACAGTAAATACAGTAAATACAGTAAATACAGTAAATATAGTAAATACAGTAAATACAGTAAATACAGTTAATACAGTAATACAATTACAGTTAATATATTGCTGGTAATATAATAATAAAATAATGGAAAGGGTTGTAAATAATGGAAGGGGTTGTAAATAATGGAAGGGGTTGTAAATAATGGAAGGAGTAGTAAATAATGGAACGGTTGTAAATAATGGAAGGAGTTGTATTTGTTCAGTGTTGACAAATAGATTTGTTTTCAAAGCTTGATATCCTACACGATGGTTCATTTGGACGACAGTCAAGGAGACTCTCAGGAACAAAGGATAGATGAGACAAAGACTCAAGGACATGCTTACGGTCATGGCAGAGAATATGTTAATTAGAAACTAAATGAGAGACATGTTAATTGGAAACTATCGAAGAAAATTAGAGACATGTTAATTGGAAACTATCAAAGAAAATGAAAGACATGTTAATTAGAAACTATCGAAGAAAATTAGAGACATGTTAATTAGAAACTATCAAAGTAAATGAGAGACATGTTAATTAGAAACTATCGAAGCAAATGAGAGACATGTTAATTAGAAACTATCGAAGCAAATGAGAGACATGTTAATTAGAAACCAAGCCTCCTCATTCTTCCGTGCGCCTCCATGCTGAACAGTGCGACGTGGCTGTATCTGAGAGTGATTACAGGATACTCGGTTCCACTTCTGGCTGCTCGGATTTGAGAATTTTTGAGTCTCTACATATCTTTAAACGAAAACCATGTCTCAATAATGCCTTTAGCTCATATAATCTGGAAATAGTAAATCGCTAGGATTTTATATTCTTGTCGTACCCCTAGGACTAAGTTGTTCATAACTAGTCCTGTTTATTTCGATATAATGTTAGGTCTTGTTTAGGTTTTATGTCTGTCTTTGAATTTTGACTTTTAAAGTGATTTTATTCATTTTAGTTTAGTCGAACTGATGATGGAGCTGGACTCCGAAACGTTTTCAATATCGATATGGTGAATTTTCTTGGCGTTTTCTTTGCTTTTAAGTTCCTTGATTATGCAGTCAATACACAACGAATGTAGCAACGCAATAACCGTCAGGCTGTATATTTTGCCTAGCTGAGAGATGGTACTGGTATTGTACGCCTTTATTACCAGTATTGAACGCGTTCATTACCAGTCAAAGTAACGGTTCCCAACTTCTCGTCGCACACTTCACAGTACCGCGCTCGCTATTGACAAGTGGCAAGTCGTAGTTGTGTCGTGCGTTAAGTTTTACTGTTGCTTATGTACCTATCGGTGCTGTTAAATTAACATATACTGTAGTGAACAGTGAAGGCCCCGAAAATGGCAAGTCCCCCTAGAAAAGTAGCAAAAAGTACAAACAGTCTTTTAAAGAAGAGTGGTTCCATGAAAAAGACTTTAAGGAGTGGCTGCCAGAAGATTCGAAAGAAAAAGGTGTTTCCTATTGCGCATGTTGTAAAACTCAAATCAAAAATGCTAATAGATCCATGTTGATGGCACATTGTAAGACTGCGAAGCATTTCAACAACATGAAAGAAGCTAAAGCAGCTTCTAAAATTGATTCATTTATTAAGAAACAGATTCCCAAGGAGAGTGATAAAGCTGCAAAGGCAGAATTACTTATATCTGCTTATATTGCTGAACACAATGTGTCATTCGCTCATGCAAATCATCTAGTGAAGTATGCAAGAGAGCATTTCATGATAGCAGCATTGCTAAAAATGTAAAACTTCATGCAGCAAAAGCTTCGTATCTTATTCAGTAAGGAATTGCTTATCATGAAAAATGGGAAATTGTTGATCAGTTTAGAAATGAAAAGTTCAATCTGATAGTCGATGAGAGCACAGATATATCCGTTTCACATGTATTAGCTGTTGTCGTTAGATATTTTGAAGTTGAAAAAAATTATGTATGTGATAGTTTGTTTGACTCGATTGTTTTTTAAAATGGAAGTGCCAGTGGTTTATACAACGCTGTTAAAACGACTCTGAGAAAAAAAAATTTCAAACATTATTGGATTTGGAAGCTATAATTGTTCTACTATGATGGGCAACAAGAGTGGCTTTCAAATCCTATTGAAGAAAAACATTCCATCAGTTTTTGTTATGGGTTGCGTAGCCCATTTTTTTTGTGCTTTACGCAAGTCACGCTGTGAAAATGTTGCCATCCTATCTCGAATCATTTTTAAATAATATTACCTTCTATTTTTCCCGGAATATTAAGAGAAATTGGGATTTTACGCTCATCCAAGAGCTAACCAAGACAGAGACTCACAAAATACCAAATTTAGCAGCAGCCGAAGATTTATAATTCCATCAGAAGTAAGTAGAATTACAATGTTTTTGATGAAATTTGTTGTCTGGGTTTTTTTTCTCACAAAATCTGCAGAATCTGGGTGTTTTTTAGCAACCATCTAAGTTTTTTTTCAAATTATTGGCTGGGAGCCCTGTTTCGCTGTACTTCAATTCAAGCGAGGCAATTCTTCACTTTTTACTAATGTTAGGGTAACATGGGGCAACGGGACCACTGCGGGTCATGGACCCATAGCGGGCTTCCCGCTAGGTACATGGCAGATATTGGCCCGTGGGCTCTACCGCCGGTAGACAGTTTCACTGGGATGAATTGTACGATTCACGTTTTGCTAAGGCTTTGCTTGGATAAGTTACTAGCAAATAACTGTTTTAGCCCAGATAAAAGTTTTTTACGGCTAAATAAAACTGTTTTCGATTACTGTAGATGAAGCTTTTGAAATTACTGCGAATTATATTTTGAAAGTAATATATATAGCGATAATTTTGAGTTCAAGTTTAGACTATTAGCTTTTAAAAATGTTGACATGATATAAATTGAAATGATACCTAGTGGCCGGTGCAGTAATCGAAACTGTTTTCGATTACTGTAGATGAAGCTTTTGAAATTACTGTGAATTATATTTTGAAAGTAATATTTAAAGGGATAATTTTGAGTTCAAGTTTAGACTAGTAGCTTTTAAAATAAAATGTTGACACGATATAAATAGAAATGATACCTAGTGGGGCAACGGTGTTGGGGCTCTCAGAACACCCAACTAGCCTACAGGATCGTATAGGTTCTGGATATTAACGAGTACTTATTAAAACACTTTATTACACTTTCAATAAACACAACAAATAATATAGAATAACTTCGGCACATTAACACTTCAACACTTCATCTTAGATGCATGGCTTTCGAGACTAACTCTTGACTCTGAGATTTGAGATTTGAGATTCGAGATTCGAGGCTTTCCTACAAAAGAAACAAATAAAACGGATAAATAAGAGTAACCTAAACAGTAACATATTCATACATATATAACCTAAGTATTTACACAATTTGTTCTCATCAATCTATTCACACGTATATTTACATCGCCACATCCTAACGTAGTACATACCTCCGCTCCGGCTTTCCACGCAACAATGATCATATCACGTCATCCTTCCGCACTTGGCCTTCCGTAAACTCTAAACTAAAATGACAAATTCAAAATAATAAACCATTTTGGAACAAAAATTAACGCCTCGCATAACATTAAAATACCCAACTATTTCTATCCTTTACATATTGCCCCCNGCGTGTGATGTGTCCATTTGAACGTACCTGTTGGTTGAAGTGGCCCGTTAGCTTATTAGTTCCTCCTAGTGGTCAAAATAAATCTACTCACTTATCTATCGGGTCTTCTTTAAAATATATCCGAATTTCTAGTAGGAACCTAAGTTTTTAAAGCAGAAAAGCCTGTTAAAGAGGTTCTGCAGAGTTACCAGGAATTCATGCAATTTAATTTGCGCGCAAGCGTCGTTATGTAAGCCGTGTTCTCTTATTGCAAAAATCTTTCATTTCAAGTGCATTTGCGGCCTATGCAATGAGTTTAAAGAATATATAAAACATTAATATTTTCTCAGCGATGTTTTTTCAACAAACAATTCGAAAATTATTCACAGCGGAGGTAAATTTCTCTTTCATCTTCATGTACATGATCTTCATGTACATGATCTTTCGTCTCCATGTTCATCTGCTGTCTTCAAGCCCTCGGAATTATTTTCGACCTTCACCCCAGATCATGGAGCCCCGGGAGACGACATCTACCACTACGCATCAGCCAGCTACCAATTCGGAAGGTTAAGCCCTCCTCCTGTCGCCGACGATCCCACAGGGGCGATCGCCTCTCATCCTGACAGGAGATTCCTGCCGTCACGCCCCTTGCAGCAGGTCCTGGTTTTGTCCAAAATCATGATTTTAATTGGCGTCTGGTTAACTGCGCATTCAACGATCTAATAAGAGTATAATAGTGAACTTCGGCCTTAATCTTTTTTAGGACATGGAGTCTAACAAATCCGGAGTCAAAAGAAGTGGCAAATAATTAACACATATTTATTATTATATTATTAAATTATACATACTGCATCGTCAAGAATTGTTAGTTTAGTATATCTCAACAAACCTACAAGTATTAGTGAATGGAGTTTCAGTTGCATTCTTATTCTGATTCTGTGCTCGCAGATGCAAGTTTAAAAATTTGTGTTTGCATTTATAAACAAAGAACGTTGTGCGGGCTTCCGATTTAGATATACTCGAGACTTTTTTCTCCCATTGCGTGTAGGATTTTTCCAGAATTTTTTTTAATATTTCACATCTTAAATCTCTGATCACTGATCATTATTGAAACAGGCTGAAGGTGATCCTTACCGCAAGGACCTGCAACTGCACGCGCACGGTGAGCAAGTCTTCAGACACCACGAAAGCGGCGAGGGTTTCGCGGGCGTTGTCTACCAGCCGCCTTCATTGCATGGTGTCTCTGATGCCAGCTTGGTGAGTCATCAAATACTGCATCTGCCAAACGGATAATGTTATCCAAATTAACTATGCGCCAAAGTTTTTAGCACATCATCATCCTGCCAAAAATTATTTTCCTATCTACCGGTAAAGTTACATCAGTAATGATTGTGTTCTCATCTTTCTTTCAAACATCGTTTTCAGTACCGAAGTGGATCGTACGAAGAACTTTCCGGAAACGTGATACTAACAGCGGACTACGGTCAGACGGCTGATCGAACTCTCCCTTCCCTCCAGCGCAAGCATCACCCAACACTCGTCGTCGCTGGGCAAAACGACGTGCAGAAGCCAAAGAAGCATAAAACACAACCCAGGAGTTGCAAACGTAACACCAACCAGAAAAATGTGAGTGGCGAGGACTCCGAGGGCTATCCTGAGAAGACAAATGATGCAACCGGCATTGTGTATGAGAAACAACTGAATAATAGACTTCTTCAACGCTCCGGCCAAACGTTCGAACTTTATCGAGTTCAAGATGAAAATTTTAAGCATGTTTCGCATTCAGGGAACTCAAAAGCACAGCCACAGCCGCGACAGCGGGTGGAACTGCCGCATCAGATTAAATAGAATTGAGTGCAAAATTGGTAAAAGTGCATTCTTAGGTATTGAAAATAACATTAGCGGTGATAAAATATATCATAAAATACAAATGAACTCATGGCCTTCGTTTCGTTTATTGAGTACGACATAGTAAATATTTTTTTAATTGTTTTTATTTGAAAAAAATATTTAGCGACATCGCCTAAAGTTATGTTACCTTTGAAACCCTGAACAACACTAGAAAAAATCCTTAAAGAGGTAAATATTCATTTATCTACTCATCAGATGGTCGTTCCGTAAGAAATACACCTGCAAAATAAGGCGGCAGAAGAGTTTCAGTCAAAAGGCAGCGAAAAATCATCTGTCGAATTGAATAATACTTCACTTCTGTTGCTTATAGCATGATATAAATATTTATAGTGACATTTTTATGTCCACGTTTTTTTCATGAAACTCTGCATCTATTAAGAGTTAGCTTCAATTTCAAGGCAATTGTAAGCCATTTAAATGATTCTCTCCCATTGTTCTCGCACACGTTATCAATTTGAAACGAAAATTTGTCATTAACACCCCTACGTCACCTAATTAGTTGGTATTAATTTAAAAATGTAAACGGCAAAGCACGTTATCACAGAAAAAAATTTTCTCTTGAACGTAATAAAAGTATTATCATTCGATTTCAATTAAAATAATAAATTATAATGTTTGTCATATCATCAATTAAGAATAGTCATATTATACTAAACGTACGCGGCCATTAACGTATATCCAGTCGTTTTCTAAAAAAATACGTGAGTATACTTCCTTGTACATTCCAGGGGCCATACTTTCAAAACTCGTTTAGTGAACGTAAATACTTACGCTCTATTTTCTTATCTATGATTGGTGGATTTTGCTTGAAAGGCCGTCAATGATTGGCTGATGAACTTACGATCTCTTAACTTTTTTGAAAGTATAGACCCAGGGGTCGGTAAGAAATACCTGTTTTTTTTTAAGCCAATTATCTGACAATTAATGGATCTGTGAGTTAGATGTGTCTCCAAGCATCCATTTCACTCAGAGAAATTAGTAAGACTTTGTCCAAAAAGCGATGCACTTGACGTGATACTCAATACGGTGAAAACATATATTTTTTTTGCTATGACCAACGGTTATTTAATATCTGCTCTACATTAATGAGGTTATTTTTACCCTAAAATATTAAAGGAAATACGCAGAGACTTTAATTTTCCTACTGTATAAGGAGCGGTGACTAAATGTTCATTTTCTATAATCTACTAGATTGAATGATTAAAACGATTATTCAATTAATGGTTTCGAGAGTTGCTCGAGATTTTCTATAATTATTCCGGCAAGATTCAAAGCCACTAGTTAATGTCGTCTAGTCGCTTACCCCATTGAAAAATACTTTGAAAATTATTGAGCTTTTGGAAATATCTTCCAAGATTTTATATCGACACATTGTTCATTGCCATGGGTTCTCGAGCTGCTACAGTTAACGAACATACTAATTACTCCCATTCGATAAGTAAAAGGTTGAATTACGTTTGTCAAAACTATTCTATAATGAAGTGATATATGGGCATGGGTAAATTAATAGTTCAACGGATTGGACTTTTTGCGATACCATTGTTAGAGATGTGAGCCATTTAAATGCGATATGCTTAAATCTCAGTGATCTCAAATAACGATCGATGTTAATAACTGACCCCCTTTGAATTCAGAGTTGCAAGAACTGAAGCAATTTTAAGGTTGTAGAGGCATCTACTACAAATGTAATTGCCATTGTACATAGAAAAATAGCAGGGACGTTTTCAATTCATTTTGGATCCGCTAGTATTATTGAAACCCATTAAGCAAGACTAACGGAGAATAATAAAAAAAATGAGTTTAACCATATTATTATTAAGATGCTCCCGGATATCAACTCAATCATCAGTTTTAAAATTCACGAATGCAATTATAGGTACGCAAATTCGTTTATTCGATTGTGGATGCTAGAACCACTGAATTTATATAGAAGAGATAATTATTGAAATCCAACTCTCCAGATAAACGAGCTAAGTAATGTTAAACCTATACCCTTCGTACCCTACGGAACAACTGATATCTTCCGTCCGTAAGGCCAGTCTAGTCAAGAAAAGTACAAGAATCGGCGACAGGCCTATCCAGGCCTATTTATTTAATGCCGAAGATACTATACTATACTATACTATAAATTGACAATTTCTAGCATCTTCTCATACTGTAATCTTGCTGTTCATTGTTCTTCCCGAGGTGTAGTACTTTACACTTGTCAGCATTAAACCGCAGCTGCCACGTATCAGCCCTATTTTTCCATAGCTTTATCTAGTCTGTTCTTGAACGCGTTCATACTTGGAGCGCCAACGATGTCATCGGGGAGGCTGTTCCACATGTCGGTATAACCTATAACCTATAAATATATAACCTAAATATAACCTAAATATAACCTATATAACCTAAATAACCTATAATCTGACGATTTCGGATAATAACTAAATTAGCATTATAATTACTCATTTGGATGACGTTTTCGTTGAAAAATATGCATACATTCCAAGATTTTTAAATTGGACGATCTAATTTAAGATACGTTTTAGGTTTCAATATTTACCGGGAAAATTTGTTGGCTTTATTTATTATACCTTATCTCTTGAAGTTTGAATTGCCGATTAAGCTGGCTTTTGTAACGTTTTTGATGAAAATATGGCGAACTTATTTGTCGATTGACGTCGACGAGTATTTTCTGTTATATATGTAGTGGTTAAATAAATCATTTCTTTGCGATTGATGATAGCCATCAGTCACTCTATAAATTCAAAGTAGCCAGCCTGTGAGGAATTTTTCACGTTTATGCTATAGTATCCCCTAAAATATCATAGTTTCTTTGTCAACATTTGATGAGTAACTCATAAATTTAGAACGTACACTGACCATGTTTTCATAATTGCTACACATGAACGGGAAACTTGCAGGAAACGCTCCGCCTGTAACAGGAATGTTGTGACTTCAAATCAGTCCCCAGTGCTGCATTTGTACCATTAAGAATGTGATTTTATTAGGCTTTTCTGACCATCAAAGACAATGGTACAACGTCATACTACTTCGTTCGACTCCACCACATGATTGAACATTGACTAATCACAGTGTTTCTCGAGAAAAAAAAATACATTCTATTTACAAACTTCGTGAGATAGTCTTGGAGTGTGCGGTATCATATTGCTGCTTCGGCTGCTGTGATAAATACGTTTTCTTCAATTCTAGCTCCCAACTTTTCATTTCGAAAAACTACTTGCTGATGTATAAAATAAAATAAAATGTTAGTAGGTCAGAAGATTTTTCAAATTCTGTTTTTTATGTTTGAAATCCCGCTTATTTTTTATATTTTTTATTTTTATTTTTTATTTTATTTTTTTTTATTTTTATATATTTAATATTTTAGAGAGCTGTAGTAGGGAATACCAGTTCGTTTATTTTAACGGAAATAACGTTCTGAAGCATTTCATCTCAGAATGGTTTCAGTGAATGACGAACTTTTCTCCTATGACTTATATATGAAGGTATTTACTTTAAGGTTTAAAAATTTCCGAAACTTCCATAAGTAAAATATTCTCCCTCATAAGTATGTAATTATTGATGATCATCGCTCTCTAATGCTGAGCATAAGTTATCTGAAATCAACCAACCACTAGATACTGGAACTTCAATCCCCATACATGCGTAGAAAAATAAAAGTAAAATAAAATAAGTAAAAAGAGCATTAAAGGAAATTAGAGTGCGAAAGAGATTATATCGTAAAGAGCTTCAATTTCAAAAACCGTAATTAACTTGCACATAGTGTTGGCTTAAACAAATGATCCAAAATCTGAAAACCTGTGGAAAATTATATTAACTGTAGGGATAATTTTACAATTCGACGTTGCAGTTGTCAGAAGTTAACATCGAGCTTACTGAAATTTGAAGTAATTATTTAGCTTCTTTATTCCCATTCAAAATACTGTGACAAGTATTTTACATTCTATAGTTGCCATTGATAATATTTATGAACAATACCAGACCGAAAGTATTGCACTGAGGCGCTTCATTCGTATTTTTCTCGCTAAAGCTGCAGCTCCTTCTGCCGTAAAATTTGTGGCAACTCCTGCTTGTTTAGCATCCGCATTGCATATGAATACCAATTGCTACTGATGAAGCCGTAAAGAAAGATGAGTCGGTGCTTCGAACGGCTCATAAACTCGGCCAACTACCGCACCAACTGCTGTCTTAACTCCCATTTCTGCTCTGTGGCCAACGCTCTGTGCGGTCCCGTGTACTTCTATGTTACTAAATTGCAAAAATTACATTCAAGTTATATGCAAATGAATGCCGCAAACATGGAATTGTTAGAAGCTTGAGGAACGGCCTTGTTACTCAAGGAATTTCAAGAAATTTTTCTGTAAATAGTGAGGTCGTCATCTCAATTATAACCAGTCATGTCCTTGGGTACTATATACATCACTAATTTTAATGATGATTATTAGCAAGACAATTTTCAGTTGAATTGAAGTGAAAGGAAATGTTGATTTCCTCTCGCTTTTAAAAGTAAGAAAAAATTATGATTTTGTCGAAACAATTTCGATTTAATGATATATAGGTACCGTTCATTAATAAACTGTGCACGAAAGTTTCAGATTTTCTGAATATATTGAAATTAAAGATAGATAGATTGCATGGGCGTTCAGATTCACAACTTATCCATCTGTATGGTCAGGCGAGAATTTAATTTGCCAACGAATCTCCATCACTCCCATGACTTGATCAGAACTGTTTCCTTTATGACCGCTCCTAATGAACAATTAGGAAAAAATGTGTTATACTGTGATACGTTGCATTCAATTACATTTAATGTACTCACTTCTCAGGTTTTGTTGAATAA